GTCAAAGTGACTCACTGTACATTTTATGTAGAACAAAGTAAAACGTGAATGTTCTGTAAATGTATTCACATGACATTTTCATTTCTTACTCCAGATATTTTATAAATAATTCATTGTGCTTCGTAATTAAAAATTTATTTGATTTTCCATCACAACTTAATTCAGCAATTATTTTTAAAAGAAAATTACAATTTTTATTAGAGCATGAAAATTACAATTTTTATTGGAGCCTATTGAGAAATATGGAAATGCATTTAGAAACAATATAATGCTCAAATGCAATTAAATTGTTCTAATTGATACTCAATGGCGCCAGACAAAGGAGTTCTAAATTTATCCTATTATGATACCAACACTTGCATAGGATTTGTATTTGTTAAGATGTAGGATTAGTCACAACGATGAGATCAGTATACGTTCTCAAGGAAATATCTTATCGAGACTTTAAAAAGCATGACAAACTTGATATTTTTCTATGTGTGTTTTTTTTTTATCTATGTTTTATCTATGTTTCTTATGAACTCATTGACATTCGTAATAGCAATAGAAAAGTTAATAAAACGTTTTATTCCAATCACTAAGAGTTATCATGATTGTAGAAACAAAGTAAAATTTATTCATTCACGGTTAAAAATAATTCAGGATAAATTTATTATACTAACATCGTTACACAATTTACCGTAACTTTACCATTCATCGACAACAGTTAGTTATGCAATCTTAGCGAGTCATTCAGTATAAAAGAAAAGGTGCAAGTGATTGTTTGCCATAGTAATTTCTTATCATGCAAACCTTACAGAAATCTGGAAATTTATCTCTGAATAAAAGACGACGGGGAAGGAACAAGTAAGAATGAGAAATATGATGAGAAGACTTCCTGAAAATCAGCTGTAAAAAAATCTTGGCCATTAACTTAGCATCTCCAAAATACAGTATCCATAGTAGTACGCAGTTCACATCGTTAAAGTGGCGTCTTCGAAGCGTCGTAAAGCGTTCTCGTTAATTATGGATAATATGATTACGCGATTCTTCCCATGGTTTCCCTTTTGTGAGACCCGGCTCCAACACACCAGCAACCGGGAACTCCACAGTGATTCACATAACAGAACAGAAGAAGCGCGCGAACGAAATTCCGATAGTTGAAATTTTAACATACACACGAGACAACAATATAACTCGAGTGCTAATCGAATTGCTATGTGTCGATAAAGTAATGAATATTTCCATATACCTATAATTGAAACACACTCTAAACGATGTAATTACCGGTAATTGCTCGTTTTAAATACATAAACAATACGGCAATGAATATTCAAGTGACTAGAGAATAAAATTAAATTCTGATACATTTTATCGTAGATAAGAGAAATCTTATTTAACTTGTATCGAGTCATGCAATACTTGAGTAAACAATACGTAAAATATTTTAACAACTGTCCTAAGTAAAACGTTCATTATCTTGTTATCATCAATAAACTCATAAACGCATAAACTCATAAAACGCAATCTGTACGAAAGAAGAATGATCAATATTTTCACAAATCTGTCAAATTCTATTAAAATATGTAATAAACGAAAGAAAGATCATTTCTCCACGTTGTTATATTAGACTTCATTGTTCATTCTATTAGAATTTATTTTGTGATAAGATAATTCTTTCAACATACCTGATACCTGTCCTCGTAAGAAATCGCTGCGTTCAACAGTGGTCCCGCTGAATCATCGTCAGTTCTGTTCGTAACTTGTAACAATGTATCCTCTCGATGGTATATGCTTGCGTTCCCTCGAAGAATGCACAATTAAGGGAGAAGTTTTACGATTGAAGATCTGACGGAGCCACTGCGATCGCGGTGAATATGATCGAGTAACGTCTGTTTAGACCGACCGAGCGGGTCCGGGCAACTGAACGTACCTCTCGTTGCGCCTTCACCGACAGCCTCGATTCCTACCTTCTCTTTCTCTTTTTCTCTCTCCCCATCGTCGAGTATCTCCCTTTCTCTTTATACAAATAGAAATTACATAGTAACAATTTGTTCTGTCATTTATAATTTAACGATAACCGGTTAAATCAATTTATATATATGTATATGTTACATAACAGTTTATTTAGAATATAAAATATTGAGTCTTGAAACTCTTTCGTGACTTTTATCATTAATCATGTATTTGTTCAAGATTTTATATGATGGTCTTTCTTCATAAATACATTATAAATTTCAAATACATTATCAGAGAATCATTTAAATGCTGTAATTTTATTCATTCTGAATTTAAGTCAACATTTAAACAAGTTTTCACTTAGTCCATTATATAATGAAATGGTTAATCGATTCCGATAAATGTATTTTATTTGTATCCCGCTTAATGAATTTTATTCAATTTAAGGGACTTTCTGCTTGAATTAGTTTTTCTTAACTCATTATTTAAATATTCGTTTGAATTATTCAGTTTTTAAATTATAAGATTTTTTTCAGATGTAATAAAAAACTAACACTGAATGCTTTCTTATCATAAAGAGACATGAACATTTGGCTCCAATTAGCTATAATCTATATTCTCTCAAAAGTACGAGATAAATATCTTCATATTCGTTATTTTTTCTTCGATTTATATGTATAGTACGAATTAAAGTTATGCAGCGACGCTGTACAAGCATGAAGTTGACATTGAACAGGAAAGGGGAATTATCCTTATCCAAGTTGCATGGAGAAAGGAGTGTGGCAAAAGATTTCTAACATTTGAATGTTTAACTTGCTGCAATAAGTGCGCAGTTGAATTCTTGTGGAAAATCAATAAAAGTTATATAAAAAGTTATAATTATCAAATTAATAAAAAGCAACCTACGAATTATAATTATTAAATATAATTAT